CGCTAAAAACGTCAATAAATATCGGGCTGTACTCAGGTGAATATGATATTTGTGATGTTACTCTGAGTGTATATCCACACCGGGCGAGCTTGAAAAATATGCCCGGCCACGGTGGGATTCGAACCTACGACCTTTGGAATACTAGCCCAGGAATAGTATTCCAAAGGTCGTAGGTTCGAATCCCACCGTGGCCGGGCATATTTTTCAAGCTCGCCCGGTGTGGATATACACTCAGAGTAACATCACAAATATAATATTCACCTGAGTACACAACACCAACACAGAAAAAAAAGATAGGTTTACTAAAGCAAATTCCGCGCTAAAAACGTCAATAAATATCGGGCTGTTGTGATTTTGCTGTTACTCGTAATGAGCGTCAAGATGGCGCCATATTGGGGTAAAGGTGGTATATTGTGATTGTCATATCTTCTTAACGAGTTCGGTGACCCCGACTTGATTTTACTTTAAGTATATCATAATTTTCCATAAACTCCATGCCTGGGAAATTTCAGCACATTCTCATTTCGGGAACAATTACTGCGGAATTACTTTAATTGAAGAAACTATAACTTTGAGATTTAGAATCAAAGCATCTTGTATATATTACATTTTCCATGATTTGTTCGGATTAATTAATTAAAAAAAAATAGCTTTAAAATCTGGTTCAATTTGCGACAAGAAAAATTAAAAAAAAAATACAAAAATGACCGACAGATTCGGAATCCGACCCCAAGAGTCAGCACTTGTTTCCATCTACCAAACTGACGTGAAATCATTTTCGGAAGATAGAAGAGGTGTTAAATGGCTATTTATGTATGCAACTAACCCAAACCCCACCCGTACTCTAGCCCCTAACCGCAACCCTAAGTCCTAACCAAAATAAAAAAAAATTCAAAAAGAAACAACTTCTAATAGAAATTGATCAAATGAAGCAACGTCAGTTTGATAGATGGAAACAAGTGAAAAGCCCAAGACTACCCGTTTGCAGGAAAAAATAGTGCGGACAGACAAAAAGACTGGGGCGAGAGTAAGTAGATTTAAAATCATCATCGTTTATTCGGAGTTTTTAATTTGTTCTTGGTATTTCAAAACATACTCGCGTACGAAAAGCATATACTAGTGATTAGAAGATAAATAAAGTGAGGGAAAAAAAGATTTTACATAATAAAAAGCGACGAAACAAAAACGTGTCAGGAGTGGGATTCGAACCCACGCCCACATTCGTGGACTAGAACGCCCATACTCCAGTATAACTGGAAAGGTGTCTACCTTGAGTCTAGCGCCTTAGACCGCTCGGCCATCCTGACAACTGAAATACCAGTATGAATTTACTCTTCATATAGGTTTGAAAAATATGTTTTTTCTTTGACTTTGTTATACTTATATCTGTCTTTCAAAAACACATATTTAGCAAATTTTGAGCTCAAAAGTTTTCAAATAAATCCGTGTTAATCTGCTTCGGAAGAGAGGAATTTTAAAGACTATACTATCAATACAACATTTAGTATAAAGTCAAGCTTTCAGAAATGGACGTTCTACAATATTAAAATAACTGAATATTGCACCGAACGACGGGATTTTGAAATGGCAATACAGTATTTACAAGGAGCCGCCACCATTATAAAATTGTTCACATAATAATTGTTGTTGATATTTACATAATTTACTGGAGAATTTGAATACGTGTATTGTCGTACGTTTTCCAATGAATCGACAAGTGTTTCATTCGCAAACTAAAGTCTCGCAGAAGCTTCACATACAGTATGAAGATTTATACAACAGCGATATTACTTCAACCGTTTCCTACCTTTTAAAATTTGAAGACAGTACGGTTCCACATTTACTGGCAGTTCGTCCTCTTGTTTGTGAAATGCAACTGCATTCGCAGTGGAAATATTATTTGGTTATGCAATTGAAGAGCTCTAGAGGTTTTAGAATTAGGTTCTTTTGTTGGGTATTAGCAATGCTACAAAAAACTGAAGGTACTATAAAATATGGGCCATGCTATTTAGTATTCAAATCCTCCCCCCCCCCCCCCCCCCC